CCCATCTATCTATCTATCTATCTATCTATCTATCTATCTATCTATCTATCTATCTATCTATCCATCCATATTTTTAAATTTCTTTCTATCTATCTATCTATCTATCTATCTATCTATCTATCTATCTATCTATCTATCTATCTATCTATCTATCTATCTATCTCTCTTTCTATCTATCTATCTATCTTTCTATCTATCTATCTATCTATCTATCTATCTATCTATCTATCTATCTATCTATCTATCCATATCGTTTTCATACATACATACATACATACATACATACATACATACATGTGTGCGTGTTTATGTGTATGTATATTCTTACTATTACATAAATAGATCATCAATACTTGCTATACTTGCCGTTTGTTTTACTGAACCCAACATATTGGTATTTTTGTATTAGGATGACAACTTACACTAGTAGTATTATTTTCAGTCTCAGTAACATTGAAATCCTATGTGTTAGTATCGTACTGGTAGGTGCCAGAGTAAAATTAATTAGCTATTGACGATGGACATTAGCTTAGGATTTCAATGAAAGTAACAATTATATTAAATTGCTGATATGTGTGCTGTGTTCAGGAAGGAGGTATCATCATATGTTGTTTCATCATATACCTTTTTAAATATGTTGGGGCGGTCTATTAATAGAGATAGGTGATTGCATGTGGTGCTCCTTTTGCTTTAAATACCTAAAGAAACCTCCTGCTTCTTCCTGACAAGACCTAATTGCTAATCCTTCATTAGGTCATTGGTAAATGCATATATTTTTCTGGGCTGTGTGCATTAATGAGTCTACATTATTGCACCATACGCCACAAATAAACACAGCTTTCCTATTACAAGCATGTCACCTTGGTCATAGGACTGTGGCTATGTGGTATCAGAGAAGCGTAGACGTTCTTCACAATTGTCAGTAATCCATTTTCATTATAAAATATCTTCCAAGAGTGCTTGAAAATCTTTATCATTGTGAGAAAGGAGTTATCTCAATGCACCTCTGTCAGTAACTGAGCAGATACAAGCCTTTATTTACTGGTGAGAAGACTTAGGTAGACAGTTTATAAGGGTTTATTTTTAATGTTTCTTAAGGTTTTGTGTATAATAGTCCCATATAAGCTATTTAACAACACACCACACAGGCTTTGCAACTGCAGTTGTAAAAGGCAGTGGCTCTTAACCTGACAATGATGTTGTATTTGAACAGCTGCGTGAGGGTTCCATTTTATCAAAGGTCTGTCTCATTGCCACAAACCCAGACATTTTATTGTTTTAACTGCATAGGAAATAAAAATGCCTGCGAAAAGGGGGGTCTTAAAAGAAGCAATGGCACTTGGAATTTTCTAATTTCTGAACTAATGAAACTCAGAGGACTGTCAACTTTTTGGTGCACCAATTTAAATGTATTGATTCGAATGTTTTCTTTGAGATCCTGATGGAATATATATAAATATTGACAATGTCTGCATTCAGTGTTGCTGAACAAGCTCAGAAGCGATGCATGGCTCATTATTCTTTATTGGAAATAATCTATTTCATCAATATTGACGCATTGAGGTTAGGAAATTTCATATATAGCATATAATCTTACTGGTTCCTGCAACCAAAACGCTTGGCTTTTTACTGTTTGACAGTTTGTGTTAAAACAAAAAAAAAATGACCTTTTTTTATTTATTTGCTTGCCGTCAAGAACCAATGAGATAATTTTCAATAGTTCATATTGAGAACGCCATTATGCTAAATTTCGCCCATGAATCTTATCCTTTAGTAAGTTTCGATTGATTTGTTCATAAAATATCTGACCGTGTGTGGTAACAGTGGGTATAACTCTTTAAAAAGCAACAGAAGCAAAAAATGGCTAACAGTGTTAGGAATGCAGATGAGGGGAATATTGATCGTTCTTGATTCTTTTTAATATGTATTAATAAATTCCACAACCTTTTGCACCTTTAGGCTGCCAAGGATGAAAGCATTTACTCAATACATGAATTGGGGGGAAAAAACAGCATTTGTTACTTGGCAATAGGTGTAAAAATAGTCTAATATGTGTAAAATAAGTCTCTAAAAATATTGCTACTTCATGTACATTTTGTTCTGTAAAGTTCAGGAGTGTGACAAAGCAAATACTCTGTGCACTGTAGTGGAAGATTTGTTTCCTAAAACTCTGTTGCCTTTAATTTCCTTCCCAAGCACAGCCCTGAAGTCCTTTGGGTCAGCAGACTCTTTTATTTGAATATAAAGCATTAAAGAAAGGGACTCCTGATTTTTGATCTACTGTATTCTTAATTCTCACACCGTTTCCTGCGGTGAAATTGATGTGTTCTGTGTTGTCACTGCCTTATAAGAGTAGCTAAGTTATTTAGCTGTCAGCGTTTCGGTGCTAGGAAAGGATATTTTTGATGGTATATTAAGAAAATAACCTTAAATCAGCGCAGTGCGCCAGGGTTGCCATAGAAGAGCAGTTGGCCAGCACTTTCTCCCTAACTTCGTAGATGTCGCTGTTGACCATATTTGAGCTGCAGCCCGAGCTGGCCACGGACCATGTGACCTGCAGGGAGGTAGCTGCTCAAGGCCATTTTCAAATCTCATTGGCTTACTTGTCATGTGGTTGTGCAGAGGCATCCACAATTACACAGGGAATGTTTTCCTAGAGATGTCAGCCTACAAAGGACACAATCTCTCTTCTTCAAATTCCTCCCCAAAATGTCCTTTCCAAACAGCTCTCCTGCTGCAAATACTTTTTTAGTAGATTCTTTGATCAGTGCCTGTAGAAGTGACAGTTTCTATTCTAACAACGCCAGCATGTACATGCCACCTAGCTCAGACATTGGGACTTATGGGATGCAAACCTGTGGACTGCTACCATCTCTGGCAAAAAGAGAAGTCAATCACCAAAACATGGGTATGAATGTACATCCCTATATACCTCAAGTAGACAGTTGGACAGATCCGAACAGGTCTTGCCGAATAGAGCAACCTGTTACACAACAGATCCCCACTTGTTCCTTTCCTACAAATATTAAGGAGGAAACCAATTGCTGCATGTATTCAGATAAGAGATCAAAAATCATTTCTTCAGAAGTGCCATCATACCAGAGGCTCGTCTCTGATAACTGTTCTGTTGATAACTCTGAGGTCCCCGTCCCAGGATATTTTAGGCTGAGCCAGACCTACGCCAGTGGGAAACCCCAAGAGTACAATAATAACCAAGAAACCAGTTCATCCTTAATGTTACAGCTAAACCCCCGCGGCAGCTCCAAACCTCAGCTATCTTCTCCACATCAGATGGATAAGAAAATGAATGAAAACCCGGGCAGCCAAGACTCTTCGAAAGTCTCTTCTGTGGAGAGTCCCGAGTCCAAATCTGCCCTGCAGGAGGACAGAAGTTGCCTGGCTGAGGTGTCTGTGTCCAGTCCAGAAGTACAAGACAAGGAAAGTAAAGGTCGGTATTACAAAGAACTTTAAACCATTACATGTTGTAGCTTTTACACGCCAGCACCATAAAACACGGTGTAAAATACCAGCATTACCATCCATAACATTTAATGGTACCTACATGTCAGGGTGGAACTGCCCCTGTTTCTCTGAAGTATTTAAAACAGAACATTCTGTTCAGGAGAGACTGAAAAAAAAATCTATGTGCGTGCTCATATATGTGTGCTTATTGTAAGCAATTGGAATCTAAATTACATAGATTCTTTCAAAAATCTGCATTTCATAATTCTGTATTGCAATCACCTTCCCCAGTATTTCAGAAAAAAAAGTTATGCTTGTTGGCTATATATCCTGAAGGGTTAAATGGGATATATTTCACAGATAGATAGATAGATAGATAGATAGATAGATAGATAGATAGATAGATAGATTCCTGTTCTGATTACCGTACCTGCATTTATATTTTTATGTTACACTACTTGTAGAAATTAAAATATCCCATTCACGCCTTTTCATTTATAAATTCACTCTGATTGGAATTGTTGTAATTGTACACTGCGGCTGTTGTCTTTCCTTAACTTCAGACAAAAAGAACTGAGCACAATTAAATTTATGTTTTGAATGTCTGTTCTAACATGATATCATTGATATTTTAAATAACAGAAGATGAAGTGGGTTATAAGGCGGTAAATAACGTTTTAAATGTTTTATTTTTATGGACCTTGTTTGTGCTATAACATTCACTTCCCTATGTACATCAAGTATAACTAAGCATTGCACTTTTTGCTGTAGGTGATGTAGATGTCCATGCACAGGGGTTACATTTGGGTTATTTCACACGAGTGAAATGACCCAAATGTAACCCCTGTGCATTGTATAGTATAGTATAGTACAATAAGAAAAAAAAAGTGTGTGTGTGTG